GCCATAACCAAGTGGCCGGCATAGTGTACAGGAACATCTGTGCCGAGTATAACCTGGAAGTCCCGAGGTCAAAATGGGAGATGCCTCCAAGGGTGGTGGAGAATAACCAAGCTAAGATCCTGTGGGACTTCCAGATACAGATACAGATACAGATGGACAAACTGGTGGTTGTCACAACCCGACTCATAGGAAGTGACAAACAAATGGGAGACCACACACAGGTTTTTTAAAGGCTGTAAGACATATTTAATGAAAATAAGGTAAAACAACTTAAAGACAATGTAAAGGAGTCAAAGGAGCTTGCAAAGAAAAGCTTCTTTAAGTTCTTAAAGAAGTCCAGACGCTTTTCTTTGCAAGCTCCTTTGACTACGATGACCTGGATGACTGAGAACCTTCACAGACACAATGTAAAGGACATAACAGCCATAACTGAAACTTCCAAATGAACAAAATGGGTGCCAGACAGCGAGCGACAGCACCAAAGCCAGCCACCCTGGTTCAGTCAAGGTGTATTTATATACACTGGGACTGGCCTCTCAGGTGTGCTGCATCACTATTTGGGTCAGCTCCACCTACCTGCAAGAAACAGGTAAAAGAAAAAACAAAACACAAGGCCAGCCCACTGGCCGTCACATGGTGGCTAACCAACTGGACATAGTAGTGGTAGAAAAGCAGAAGAAGATAGCCATAGTGATAGACATAGCGATACTGAGTGACAGCAACATCAGGAAGAAGGAATATGAGAAGCTGAGAAGTACCAAGGCACTCAGAGAAGAGCTGGAGAAGATGTGGAGGGTAAGGGTAACAGTGGTCCTAGTGGTAATCGAAGCACTCAGGGCAGTGACTCCCAAGCTAGGCGATTGGGTCCAGCAGATCCCAGGAATAACATCGGAGATCTCTGTCCAGAAGAACGCAGTCCTAGGAACAGCTAAGATACTGTGCAGGACCCTCAAGCTGCCAGGCCTCTGGTAGAGGACCCGAGCTTGAAGGATAGACGAGGGGCAAGAGAGGGATATATAAATAAACTTTTATTCAACAATTCAACACGAAAAGTAATTACAAACATAGCTGGACAACAGTGCGAAGCATGAAAGAAAATAACCTACAAAAGAGGAAAAAAATAGAGAACTAATTTAGACTCGTTCCTATCACCCTGAAATGGTTCAGACTGGCCCCAATGGCTACCCCTCGCTGTTAAACTGGCCTTTTTCCTTCCCACTGTCGCCAAGTGCTTGTACAAAGTAGATTTTATGAATGTTGGGATTTCTCTCTGTTATTTTACAGCCTTCTCTTACAAAATAAAGCACATCGATGCTGGTGGCAGAGCAAGTCAGCCACTAATCAGAAGGTTGGTGGTTTGATCCCAGGCTGCCTCCTGGCTGCAATTGTGTGAATGGGTGAATGACTGAATGTAGTGGAAAGCGCTTTGGGGTGCTTAGGGACTAAGTAAAGCGCTATACAAATGCAGGACATTTACCATTTTACCATTTAGCACAAGGGAACCAAGACACTAATCCAGAAATAAGAAAAATGGAGGAACAGACAGCGAAAGACGGAGAGAAGTAAAAAGTACAAATATTACACATTTAACAAAACACAAGATTGCAAAACTGAAATGCATGACAATAACAACTAAAAATTAAAAACAGAAGTTTAATTCTCAGTGATTTCCACACAGTCTATTTGAATCAAACAGGAACAAAAACAATCAACAAAAACAAAACTCAGTACTTGAAATTTTCGAACAACAATGAATAATAAAAAATAGTCAAATATATTACTAAGAATCCGAACTAGGAATCTAAAACAGCAAAACTGAAAACCCCAGGACCAAATCTAAGGAACGTGACAAACCATGTCAAAGCTATTAACAATTTTAAATGATTTTTTTTCAGTCATGCCACAGTTATCTGATAAATAACACCTGCTTGGTGATATATTTTGCGATTTATTTGTCTGCGAGAAACAAGAAATGAGGGATATGCTGCACGAATGAGCATCTAAGGCTAAAAAAGACAGATGGTGCATAAAGCAGAGGTGTAAAGAGGAGGAAGCAGGTGGAGGAGGAAACCGGGAGTGAGCTGTGGAGGGAGACGAGAAGGACATGGTGAAGGAGATGCTCAGTAGGCGGGAGGCAGAAAGGAAATGGTTTGAAAAAAGACAGCTTTCTCCAGCTGTTCATGTGAACACAGGGTATGTGCCAGCTCTTGCTCTCTCCTTTTTGTGTCTGTCTATCAGCATCTCTTATCTTATTGTTAAAGCATGTGGAACCCTGAAAGCTGAGCTTGTGCCCAACGCCAGTTTGACGTGCCCGAGAGATGCACACAGTAACTGATATGAGGGGATTATCTCTTATTATGGTCATGCCTCACTTTGTACCAACCCCAACTCACATCACAGAACTGGGACGACTGGAAAACACACACACACACACACACACACACACACACACACACACACACACACACACACACACACACACACACAGCAGCAGCAGCTTTATATATGCTTTACCAACCTGGGGAGTTTATGTTAGGGTTTGCATGGCTTACATATCAGATGACCTATACACTTTATCTGTAGGTAAAAGATGGAAAGTGCTGCTAAGACTCATCCCTCCTCCCTATTTTGCCCAACAGGAAGAACCATACGTGATGTTCAAGAAGTCTGACAAACCACTCTATGGAAACGACCGCTTTGAGGGCTACTGCATCGATCTACTCAGAGAGCTGGCCAACATCCTAGGCTTTACTTTCGAGGTCCGCCTGGTGGAAGATGGAAAATATGGTGTCCAGGATGAGAACACAGGCCAGTGGAATGGCATGGTCAAGGAGCTAATGGATCATGTGAGTTTCTGCATTATTATTCAATCATTATAAAAGTGGTTCAGTCAATCAGTCAATCAAATTTAGTGATGCATTTTATTTATGGAGAACTTTCAGTTACTTAACCCTCATTCTATTGACATATTTAACATAAATGGACTACCAGCTTGTAATTTACTGTATAAACAATAGCAAAATAATAATAATAGCAACTCTTACTTGTTCTCATGGCATTATTAGTTCTGTAAATATGCCATTTAAAGAAAAAAAGATTTTGCAAAGTTAAAGTTAATTTGCATGTTTTGTAAAACTAAACGTATACTTATCTAAAGTATAAACAATCTTGGAGCTTTTATCCCATGTACAATCTATATTATTACTTAAAAGCTTATTTAAGGGCCTTGTTTGTGATATCACTTAGTTTTTAGTCATTTTAACTAAACATTATTTGTATTTATATAATGAAACCAACTGGGGTCATAATGAGGCTAATATGAAATAACTGAAGTAAACACATAAACCTTAGTGACACTGTTGAAAGCTTTTTCCACATCTACAAACCACATGCAGACTGGTTGGGCAAACTCCCACACACCCTCAAACATACTGACCCTAACATACTATGGCCTTGTGATGATCCAGTTACCCTGTGTTCTGTCTGTAATTGGAGCACATTTCCAGTTATCAGTTTCCAGTAATACAGAGGCACCATCCCAGAGCTCTACACAATATTGCAGAGGCCCACCCACCAACCCAGACATCAAACCACCAACCTTCTGATTAGTAGATGACCTGCTCTACCACCTGAGCTACAGCCACTCCAACCGTGATGGTCAGCCCTTGTCCTCAGACTCTGCTTCCTGTACAGAAGATGTTTCAGTGGGATGAATGAGGTCCTCAATATCTCCTTCCACTGCTCATCTACAGGTCTTTCTTAAAAAATTAGCATATTGTGATAAAGTGCATTATTTTCTGTAATGTACTGATAAACATTAGACTTTCACATATTTTAGATTCATTACACACAACTGAAGTAGTTCAAGCCTTTCATTGTTTTAATATTGATGATTTTGGCATACAGCTCATGAAAACCCAAAATCCCTATCTCAAAAAATTAGCATATCATGAAAAGGTTCTCTAAACGAGCTATTAACCTAAACATCTGAATCAACGAATTAACTCTAAACACCTGCAAAAGATTCCTGAGGCTTGTAAAAACTCCCAGCCTGGTTCATTACTCAAAACTGAGTAAGACTGCCGACCTGACTGCTGTCCAGAAGGCCATCATTGACACCCTCAAGCAAGAGGGTAAGACACAGAAAGAAATTGCTGTTCCTAGAGTGCTGTATCAAGGCACCTCAGTGGGAAGTCTGTGGGAAGGAAAAAGCGTGGCAGAAAAGGCTGCACAACGAGAAGAGGTGACCGGACCCTGAGGAAGATTGTGGAGAAGGACCGATTCCAGACCTTGGGGGACCTGCGGAAGCAGTGGACTGAGTCTGGAGTAGAAACATCCAGAGCCACCGTGTACAGGCGTGTGCAGGAAATGGGCTACAGGTGCTGCATTTGAACCAGAAACAGCGGCAGAAGCGCCTGACCTGGGCTACAGAGAAGCAGCGCTGGACTGTTGCTCAGTGGTCCAAAGTACTGTTTCGAATGGAAGCAACTTTTGCATGTCATTCGGAAATCAAGGTGCCAGAGTCTGGAGGAAGACTGGAGAGAGGGAAATGCCAAAATGCCTGAAGTCCAGTGTCAAGTACCCACAGTCAGTGATGGTCTGGGTGCCATGTCAGCTGCTGGTGTTGGTCCACTGTGTTTTATCAAGGGCAGGGTCAATGCAGCTATCAGGAGATTTTGGAGCACTTCATGCTTCCATCTGCTGAAAAGCTTTATTGAGATGAAGATTTCATTTTTCAGCACGACCTGGCACCTGCTCACAGTGCCAGAACCCCTGGTAACTGGTTTACTGACCATGGTATTACTGTGCTCAATTGGCCTGCCAGCTCTCCTGACCTGAACCCCATAGAGAATCTGTGGGATATTGTGAAGAGAAAGTTGAGAGACGCAAGACCCAACACTCTGGATGAGCTTAAGGCCGCTATCGAAGCATCCTGGGCCTCCATAACACCTCAGCAGTGCCACAGGCTGGTTGCCTCCATGCCACGTTGCATTGAAGCAGTCATCTCTGCAAAAGGATTCCTGACCAAGTATTGAGTGCATAACTGAACATAATAATTTGAAGGTTGACTTTTTTGTATTAAAACACTTTTCTTTTATTGGTTGGATGAAATATGCTAATCTTTTGAGATAGGGATTTGGGGTTTTCATGAGCTGTATGCCAAAACCATCAATATTAAAACAATGAAAGGCTTGAACTACTTCAGTTGTGTGTAATGAATCTAAAATATGTGAAAGTCTAATGTTTATCAGTACATTACAGGAAATAATGCACTTTATCACAATATGCTAATTTGTTGAGAAGGACATGTATATCCTCAGCTGAAGTCAGCAGCGCCCCATCACTACTATACACAGTAAAAGTAGAGCGCTTGCCTGACGGTTGGCTAGAATCACTTTAAGGCAGACCAAAGGCATTGTTTGATGGCCTCACCGAGCTCCTCGCACACCCGAGATTTTACTTCTGCTACCACACAAACCACGAGCAATGCCTCCCACATGATAACCAAGCTGTAGTAGGACTTCTTCAGCTTGAAGGCTCCTTTATTCTCCAGTGCCCACTGTCTGGTTCATGGACTGACACCATGACAGGCATCAACCATCTTTGCGGCTGCATAATAGAATAGAATAGAATAGAATAGAATAATCCTGTAATTGTCCCACAAGGGGAAATTTGGTTGTAACAGCAGCCAAAAAGACACATATACAAACAAACAAACAAACAGTACACAGGACACAGAACAGAAACATACACATTTTTTCTTACATATTTACATCAAGGACAGTGGTTACTATAAACAGAGTACTGTACAGTTATTAAATTAAATAAAATTAACTACAGATAAGAGGCAAACCCAGGTTGTAGTGCGAATCGGTTGGTTAAATTATTGCAGTTACAGCACAGATGTAAACATCTGTGTTTGTTGGGAGCAGTTCTGATTGTACAGTCTGACAGCTGCAGGGAGGAAGGACCTGCGGAAACGCTCCTTCATGCATCGAGGACGCAGCAGCCTGTCACTGAAGCAGCTCTGCAGCAACATCTACATGCATGGGGTGGGAGACTCTGTCCATCAGAGATGTTATTTTGGCCACAGTCCTTCTGTCTCCCATCACCTGCACTGGGTCCAGGGTGCATCCCAGAACAGAGCTGGCCTTCCTGAGCAGCCTTAGCAATTGAGGTGCAGAACATGGTCCATTTGGATTCAGTGTCCCCATATGATGTGAAGGCATAGTGGCTCTACTCTGAGCCCCTCCCAAACTCCTCATCCCATGCTAAGGGAGAGCCCATCCACCCTTGAGAGAAAGCTTATTTTCACCCCTTGTATCTGTGATCTCATTCTTTTGCCTTTAAAAGAAGTTATAATATTGTTAATAACAAGATCATCCTGAACTTAATGGACTTATGGTGTTTATCAACAATGATGCTCCTTGCTCATAGGGGGTCATATGATTGTTGGGTTTTTCTCTGGATGTACTATTGTAGGGTCTACCTTACAATATAAAGTGCCTTTAGGCGACTGTTGTTGTGATTTGGGGCGGTATAAATAACACTGAAATGAATTAAATTGAATCTGAGAGACAGATGCCCTCCATACTTTTAAGATTTGTCACAGGTCTGGGTCTGTTGGACCCAGTATGTGGAGTTTCATGTTTTTGTTATTCCATGTTTGAGGTTATTATGTTTTGGTTTTAGTTTGCATCAGGGATTGTTTTCTTCTTCTCTTGTTGTGTTGATGATGATGATGATGATGATGAT